AAAAAAAAAAAAAAAAAAAAAAAAAAAAAAAAAAAAAACTTTGTAGGTAGTTCAAATCCTTTGAACTGGTGGATTGGAATTTGAAGATTTAATTTCTCTTGATAGGTTACTAACTCTGACTGGTAGAATATAAGGAGTGATATCAGTGCTTTCTTTTACTGTTGGGTTACTGTTGAAGGGCTCAGCCGCTGGTAGTTTTAGTTTGCCAATTGAGAGTTGGTTGGCTTTGATCTCATGTGAGCCACCCGGGATAGGGAAAGATTCTTATTCAATCGAATAATTTGATAAAAGAAACTTATCAACTACGACCATGTTAGTTACAAGGGTGTGCTTTAAAAGAGGTGACCAATCTCTATGGGTTGCCGAGAATTGCATCCTATGGGGGTTGACTCTTTTAGCTAATTTCAAGTATAATGGAACGAGACCTTAAGTTCATGGACAAAATAGTATTTTAACCTGAGTATCACATATACACATTTCCAAGGTTAGGCCATGTTAAATGATTGTCATGAATAATAGAAGGCAGGCCTCAAATGCAACTTGGATCATGTTCTAATATTTTTTGAGATTCACTTATATAGAAAATTGATTTGAGTAGATACAGGAGTGCGCAGCGTGATTGAGAACAAAAGTAGTTGTCCTTTTGTTTCAAATGCGTATTTACCATCTATGTTCTAATTAGCATCGAGGATCAATATTTTGACAAACTATGCTTTATTTTCTGACTTGATCTTCAGCTGCCATGGTAGAAGAATGTTTGATTGGCATGCAAACTATTTCAGAGAAGCAGCAACACTTCGAGGTATCTACTTGTAAAGATTTTGCTCAAAAATCTTATATCTCAGCTGTAGAATTTCAAACTCATGAACAGCAGCATCAACCTATTCTGCCAAAGGAGAAAGTATGTAAAGGTTTTGCTACAAAATCATGCATCCCAGCAGCAGAATTTCAACCTCATAAAGAGCAGCATCAATCCATTCTACCAAAGAAACATGCATATTCCAAACCATTGCTTTCCAGCATCAAAAGGCAGAGCGAGTATATCAATATTCAGAAATCAAAGTTCAAAAGCAAAAGGGCTTCTGAAGTAGAGTTGATCGAGCTAAGCGATAACGAGGATTTGAAAGCTGAAGATAAAATGCAGACTTCAGAGAATCCAAATTTCTCCCTGTGGTATTGTGCAAGTCCTCAAGGGGAGACAAGGGGACCCTTGCCACTGTCATTACTGAAGCAATGGAGGGACCGAAGCTCATTTGAGTTGAAATGTAAAGTTTGGAAGAATGGTCAGAGCTCGCAAGAGGGCATCCCTTTGAGCGATGCCATTAGGTTGTTTTTCCCTGAATAGATTTTGGGTACTTTTGTATCAACCAACTCAATTCCTGTTGATACAAAACTACTGTACAGTTAGAATTATATACGGTAGTGCAGAAACAGTTGCTGCCAAGTGCTTCCAATGGAACCTCTTTTTTATAAGAAACAAACCCTTTCATGTGAAACCTGGGAATCAGAATTGGTCTTTTATGTATAGCCTAGGGTTTACGTTTTGTCCTTTTAACCTTTTACACATTTGAATCTTTGTCTATCATTTTCTCCGTCGCCTTCAAAAGAAATATAAATATGTCAATGTTGCATAATCTGATGATGGCAAGAGATCTTTTATAGTAAGCACTACAGCAAAGATTTTTAGCCAGATTTAAAACATAGGCATGATGTAATAGAGTTTCAAAGAAAAGCAACCTTATATGCAAGGGGCAAATCTTTTAATATTTCAATGATCAAATTACCAACATAAGTATTGCAAAATGGATTAAACATATAGAAAAGATTACCTCAGAAGATTCTTGAGAAATTGTATGCAAGGGGCAAATCTTTCGCACTCGGGCTCGCACAATTCGAGCTGGAGATCAGAAATATGTCAACTAAACATGATTAAGATTATATTTATGGCCAGTTTTCAAGCATACAAAGTATATTCCCATATGAGAACCAGCCTTATAAAATTGAATTTCCCAACCAAAACTGCAGTTTTGCTCGACACCAGCTTCACAATCTACAAGTTTTGTGTTGAAACTAAAATTTCTCTCTTCCACACTCTGGAGTCATTCAAAGTCTTCAACCATTGAAACTGGCAACAAATTTCTAGATTTCTGTGATGAATTTACAAGTCTTCCCAGTCTCGATCGTCTAATTATTTAAATGTTTTGTCTTGAAACACTTTCCATGAGTGCCATATCCTAACAACTTCATAAAGCGTTTTCCTTTCTTAAAGCATCTAGCCTTTCCTTCATTTTTTTACTCTGCTCAAAGTTTGCCTTTCGTTTCAGAGCTTTCTGTGAACAGAAATAGAAAGTGTCATTTGAGATGGAAAAAGGAGCAGGCCTACAAAAGAAACGAAGGAAAACTAGAATATAGAACAGAAAACTCACTTCCTGCCTGAAACATCGATCAAGCTTAATTTTGAGATCTGTGCATTCACCCAAAAATTTTCCAATGGGATGGTCTAGATGACACTTTTGAAACTCCTCAATAATCTGTACAAGTAAGGAACTTTGGGCTTTAGTAAGCTACTGGAGAAGTCTCTTACCTTTTTCCCTTCTAACTCGCAAATGTTTAGGCCAGCTTTCAACCTTTAACTCTACCTCTAACTCTACGACATTTGGTTGTTAAGAATCCCAAAAGACTTTTAATAACTTAATAGGTGATCATCATGTAATTTGAACTTATTTTACCAATAATCACCAAGGAAAAATCTATAGAGTCTCTTGCTAGTTTGTTGATAAATTTGAGTTCCTACAGCAATTTCACAGAAGTAAGCTCACTGCACCGAACCACCTACTTAACACGGTTCAACTAATTATAGCTCGAGGATCATCATTTCAATTCCATCGGTATAAAACTAAATGAGATAGTAAATTATTCAACCCTTCATTGAATGGAGGTGACTTGAATTCATCATTAAAATGGGTGTGCAAATGCAAGAGGGGAAACCCGGAGTTCAAGCTAAGATTTTCTTTTCTTTCTTAAAAGCATACAGCATAATCAATTCATAATCAAAAAATTCGAAAGTGAAATGAAGGTCAAGTCCAACCATCTCGAGGAATTCAGCTATATAATATATATATATATATATTAAGAAAGCATAGTTTCGAACTTACTTCGGCACACATCGGGTGCTTATGCAAAGTTAGAGGAGGATGCATATTCACTTACGAGATCCACAGCAACCTGCAACAAAGTAGTTCACAAAAATCCCAAAATCGTTTTCAGAAACCACACAATCATTGCATCGATTTCGTTTCAGAGAGAAGAGAATGGATGCGGATGTTTAAGATTCCGATTCAAACTATTATCTAAACAAATCCATTAGCGGTTATACAATTTCAATCGAAATATAGGGTTTTCATATCCACTTCCGGAGAATCACTACGATTATTTTTGGCCATAGAATCAGTGCTATTTTAGAACTGACGATCTACAAAAACGCATATGAATCAAATCGATGAAGAAGAAGATTCAAATCAAGAAACCCAACCTGTGAAAAGCATGAAAAATCTGATCCCGAATCGAGAACGGCCAGCTTTCGTTCTATGTCTATACAAAAGTATTAGAAACCATATATATAATATAAAATGTTACAGATTTAAAAAGAAATAATTTTTATAAAGAAAATATATAATTATATATTTTATATATTTCGGTAATTACATTTTTTTTTTTACTATTTATGAAATTAAATAAAATCCTAAACATAAAATGGCAGTTGTCTTTTTCGATGTGTACAGAAATGTCCCAAACCCCTGATTCTCTGTTTTCTAGGGTTTAACAGTTCATCTTCTTCATCGTCCCTCTGCTCTCTCTCGCCGTAGAATCATGTCACTATACCGCCTCCTCCTCCGCTCTCTCCGCCGCACTTCAACCTCGCCATCGCATTCTCGACCTCTGAGCATTGGTCCTCTCAGTCAACATCTGCAGACCCCGATTCTTCCATCCTCGCAAAGCTCTTCTCTTATTTCGCTTCTCCATGCCCGCTCATTTGCCTTTTCCTCTGCCGAAGAAGCTGCTGCCGAAAGACGCCGTAGAAAGCGCCGTCTTCGTATCGAACCCCCTCTCCACGCTCTTCGCCGCGACAACTATCCGCCCCCTCAGCGTGATCCTAATGCTCCTCGTCTTCCTGACTCCACATCCGCTCTTGTGGGGCCTCGTCTGAGCCTTCACAATCGTGTTCAATCCCTAATTCGTGCCGGTGATCTTGATGCGGCTTCTGCTGTCGCTCGCCACTCTGTGTTCTCGAACACCCGGCCCACGGTTTTCACTTGTAACGCTATTATTGCTGCCATGTATCGGGCCAAGAGGTATGGTGATGCGATTGCACTGTTTCAGTTCTTCTTTAACCAGTCGAATATAGTTCCCAATGTTGTGTCGTATAATAATTTGATTAATGCTCATTGCGATGAGGGTCGTGTTGATGTGGGTCTTGAGATTTATCGCCATATTATTGCAAATGCTCCGTTTAGTCCTTCGGCAGTAACTTATCGGCATTTGACCAAGGGATTGATTGATTCTGGGAGGATTGGGGAGGCTGTGGATCTTCTGCGCGAAATGTTGAATAAAGGGCATGGGGCTGATTCGTTGGTTTATAATAATTTGATTTCCGGGTTTCTAAATTTGGAGAATTTGGAGAAGGCGAATGAACTGTTTGATGAGTTGAAGGAGAGGTGTTTGGTCTATGACGGAGTTGTGAATGCTACGTTCATGGATTGGTTCTTTAACAGGGGGAAAGAAAAGGAGGCCATGGAATCGTACAAGTCATTGCTTGATAGGCAATTCAAGATGATTCCAGCCACTTGCAATGTGCTGTTGGAGGTTTTGCTCAAGCATGGGAAGAAAACGGAGGCTTGGACCTTATTTGATCAGATGTTGGATAATCACACTCCTCCAAATTTTCAAGCAGTCAATTCAGACACGTTTAACATAATGGTTAATGAGTGCTTTAAGCTTGGTAAGTTCTCAGAGGCAGTAGAGACTTTCCGGAAGGTGGGGACTCAACCAAAGTCGAGGCCTTTTGCGATGGACGTTGCAGGGTATAACAATATTATTGTAAGGTTTTGTGAGCATGGAATGATGGAAGATGCAGAGACTTTTTTTGCTGAGCTTTGCTCGAAGTCCTTGTCCCCTGATGTCCCAACTCATAGGACATTGATCGAAGCTTATTTAAAGCTTGAGCAGATTGATGATGTATTGAAAGTTTTCAACCGAATGGTCGATGTTGGTTTGAGAGTCGTAGCTAGCTTCGGAAACAGGGTATTCGGCGAATTGATTAAGAATGGCAAGGCAGTTGAATGTGCTCAGATTTTAACAAAAATGGGAGAGAGGGATCCTAAACCAGATCCCACGTGCTATGATGTGGTGATTAGAGGGCTATGTAATGAAGGTGCTCTCGATGCTAGTCGGATGTTGCTTGACCAGGTAATGAGGTACGGTATTGGCCTCACTCCCTCACTTCAGGAATTTGTTAAAGAGGTATTTGAAAAGGCTGGTCGGAATGAAGAGATTGAAAGACTGCTAATGATGAACAGAGGGGGACATGCCCCTTATCGCCCCACGTCTGGACCCCCAAGAATTTCACAATCGCAGGTCCCTCAATTTAGAGGAAGTTATGGCCCTTCAGCACCTCAAATGACAGGCCCTAATTATATTCAATCAGGATCAGTTCAAATGACAAGACCACAACAGCCATCATCAGATCCACCGCCCTCAATGGAAGAACAGCAGCAGCATTCACAACCCCCCCAAATGGCTGGGCAGGCAGTAGCTTGATTCTTTGCTTCCCAGGTTATTGGAGGATGATATTGTCAAATTTTGACTTCGAGTTCAACGCAATACTGCGATGAATTACATACACCACCTCTTTGTGCCACTTGTCCTCTTATTCAAGCTTTCTTGTTAGTACGAGGATTTTGCAATATCCATGGTGACTGCCTGAGATATTATGTGTTTACCTATATATTAAGGTAGATTCCCTTGTTACACTATTTAAACTCACAAATTTATTAATAATATTTTGACTCAATCGTTTGAGACATCATTACAGATCTGTAACAATGCAATATCCTCGGAATGCAGGGCATAGTTTCTACTTCCAAACTATAATGGGAGAATCTAAGAACACATTCTTACATCTATGTCGTTTTTTATGCTGTTTAGTAAAAAGCAAGAGAACATCAATCAAGCTCATAACAAATAAAATGGTGTAGATATCAAATCTTCCATAGTAGTATCGGTCGATCAGGCTCGATCACCAACTCGCCTGTCTATACAAATCTTGTTAAACAAGAGATGAGAAATTTAGATAGAGCAAATGGGCAATGAATAAAATAAAAATAAATTACTACACTACATTTTTCCTTCTTTGAAGGATTCAGTTCTTGCGGGAGTATCTCTCAAAAGGGGAACTCAAATCTCTTAACAAAAATCTATACATTTGAACCAAAACTGAATCATTCTTCCACCAATGTAGATGGGCATCTATAACAAAATGTGCCACCGAAGCCTAGGAACTTGGTCGATCCATCCCGCCACCCCACCCAAAAGAGATAAAAAGAAAAAGAACAACAGATGTGTCTGCTTTTAACTAGAATGTTCAAAAATTCATTACTGATGAGGTCAGGTTAAGCAAGGTCTCCAGGGTAGATGGAGCGAACTTTCGAGCAAAGAGGTAACAAACAGTAGTCGTTTCGGAATTATATAGGCACTCTGTCCCATTATTTCTTATAGATTCTATAAAACTCTCAGTGACGTTAGCTGGTTCGTACATTGCAGGATGCGGGCCTCCCAACGACCAATCGACCCATGTCACCGTGCGATTTGAGTTCAGAGAACCATGAAACATGTTCAAGTAAGTAGGGATATAGTGCTCATCTGGGTAGCAAGCAGGCTTGCAGAAATTCTTAAACAGAGTGTAGTATCTGGTATCTGCAACAATATAAACGGCTAGGCCACGGCTGATTTCAAACCACTGGGACCCTTTCCTCCAATGCTGGAGCTTAATATCTGGAAGCATTTTGCGACTATAGCGACCACGCCCGTACCTGGTCGGTTCATCATATGATTCTACAAAACTGTGGGCAGAGTTTATCAGATATTTGTAGACTGTTTGAAAGTTGTACACTGGGATACAGCTCTCAGAAAGCAGAACAAAACGTTCATTTGAAAAGTCGAGCAGGGCATTTGCTAGAAGGCGCCTCTCGGCATCAGCAAGTGATACTGAGCCCCAAGAAACATACTGCAAAAATGAAATGACCTTGTTCTTAAAAGAATTATGCGAGTAACTTGATCAAACTTTGAAGAATTTGGAAGCAATGCTGAAATTTTCTATTCTAGATTGATAAAACATTGAGGTAAAGTAGTTATGCAATCAAAGGCAGCCACCATAGCAGAAGTTAGCAGAGTCCAAATACATTCTCTAGTCCATTCTTCAACAGTTTCAAAGAGCCAAAGTTCTAAACATGCCATACTAGAAACATTATTTCAAAGGCTTCAATACTTCAGCACGTATGGATCTCGATACATGCAAGAGAACGTACATTATTTTTGAGGTTTGTATTCCGTATTATCTATGTCACTCTATCAATTAGTATCCGTTACTTCTAATTTGCCTTTCAAAAGAAATGTACAGGATTCACAAAGGCATCACAAAGATGAAGAGGTAGAGAAACCACTTAACAAGTAAAGCTAGGATGAAATTTCCTGCCTCTGTAAAAGGATAGCCAAAACTGCAGATTTACCTCAACAATCTTTTAGAAGAGATTTTCCTCTAGAGTTTACAGCAGTTTGACATGGCAGACAACAGAATCATCGCATCAAACCCTTCAATCTTGAGTTAATCATGCACTAATGCTTTCCTTTTGATATCATGAACGGTAAATCTTTTTATCAGTCAAGGTTTAGTGTTCTAAAGCTCAATAAGATTTAGAAACCATGACCAAACGGATGAACTTAAGTTTAGGCCTATCAACTCTAGCATAGCTTTATTTCCTCAACCAAAAGGTCAAGAGGTTTAAACCGAACATGTTGTCTATAATTTCAGATTGTTGTATCTAATCACTTGTATTCTATCATTTTGGCACATTTTGCAGACATTGATTATACTAAACATGGCAGCAACAATGTAGAATCGCATAATATCAATACACAGGTTGAAAGGGGGGGAAAACCTGGCTGGGAATTTGGCGTCTGTAGAAAGCAGAGCTGCTGGTCACATTTAGCTCGTAGCCTGGTAGGGCATGCACATAAATAGAAAACAGCTTCTCATGGCCAGAAAAGAACCTCTCCCATAATGGCAGCATGGGCAGTGGTCCTCTGGTTAAGAACATGAAGGCCACTTTTGGTATCCTTTTGAAGGGATAGTAGTCCTCTTTCTTTGACACCATTGAAGCTCTCCAGAAGAGCTCATCGTCAGACATGGTATGGGTCAAATTCTCTGGATGGATGAATAAATGGAAACTTGAACACTCCCTTCCCTTACACATGTCTGAACCACTACAGTTCTCTTCCACCAGAGTATTAGGAACAGAAAAATGATTGATTAGAGAATAAAGCTCAGTCTGTGAGGTGAAGTATCTGCTAATATGTGAAGTTGTTGCTAATCCAATGACAACTCCAGCCACAAAAACAACCAAAAATGACAGAATCTGCATCAGTTTGAGCAAACCAGGGTGCTTCTCTCCTTCATCCTTGTCCACCCTACACCGAGGCATTGCTATTGAGACCCCAAAAACCGAAAATACAAAGCAGACGTTTCAGTTTCCCAGTTGATCCTTAAATCCTTAAAGACACAATCCAGCACCCAGTTTCTTGGATTGATCAACAGGGAGATTAATGAACTGAGCAAAATCTACCAGAGTTCAGGCATTCGAGGGAACCCCAAGGGAAGAATCGTAATGTAAAAGCGTTGTGGTCAGATAAGAAACTACCCAAAAACAACAAACAGCGGGACGTGATCCTTCCCAAAATGGGCATAAAATGCGGAAACAACAGAGCAGGAAAAATCAAGAACACAATCGAAAAACCTCAAAAACAATGGGTTTGAATCTGAAGAAAAGGATCGAGCAGCAAGCGATCTGAAAACGAAAAACAGAGGCAATTGGAGGGAGATGAAGAAGTTAGAATCGCATTTGAAAGAGATGGGAAACTCAAAAACGCATCATTATCGAAACATAGTGAAATTGAGATGGGTGGGGTTGGTGGGCACACTGAGATTTGGGGGAAGAAGCCAAATGAAAATTGAAAATAAGAGATGGAAAGTGAGATTTTGGTCTCTCGGAAGTGGGTCTGGACACGAACAGAAACGGGTTCGAATTATTTTAATTTCTAGCGGAATTTTATGAACAGTTTCTTTAATGATTTTGGAAGGAAAAGATTGTGACGTGCGAAACGAGAGCGCTCCTATCGCCGGGTGGTGCCGAATCCGACGGCACCTCTTTCCACATGAGAAACCAAACCAACAGCTAAGAATATAATACAATTTTCTCTATGCTATTTTCTAAGCTAAACCATGTGTCTCATTTAATATCATCCCACATACATACAACACGTCGCTAATCAATTATTACATTAAAAAATAATACATTTTATCTACACCAATTGCTTTCTTTTTTAGGTCAAATATTCAAATTTATATGGTTACCTTTATTGTACTTAAATTGAATACATCTTTCTGTTAAAAACCTGCCTCAAACCAAAAACACATTCAATTAATGTCAATCTAATCATTACCCGAATATGTACCTAGTCAATTAAAAAGTTGTGTTCATACTACCAGAGATTCAAATTTATAACTTTTTAGTCTATAATACATGTGTTTACGTTAGTTGAATATGTTCAGTTATTTACCTATTTAGACCTACGAAACTACGCATGTCTATTTGGTCCATATACTTTAAAAACTATCTCGTACATCCTTTTGTATTTAACATATCTCTAAAAAAATTTAATCCTGACCTATTACGATATTGTTTTTAAATTCACAAATCTACGAACACTCATAAAATTGAAAATTTATGGTCTTACTTTACATTCAATTTTATATCTAATAGATCAATTAATTTTTTTTTAATTTTATACCCATTTGAGATCTATTTACCTAAAATTGAAAATTCAACCACTAAACTGACACAAACTCAAAACTTTAGGGACTAAATTTATAATTTAACTTAGAAATATAATAGATAATAGAAATTTATGTAATTTAGTTATTAAATTAAATGCACAAATTTATTAGTTTTTCTTTTTGGAGGGGAGGTATTTTAACCTCTAATTTATTTGCAATAATAATTGACTTATATTTTTTATATATATATAAAAAAAAAAGTAAATATTTGTATATTTCTTTTTCTTGTAAACATATTAATATAGTAGGCTTTATTAAAAGATCAATCCAACTATAAAACATTGGGCCATGGATCTTTCCTCTTGGGCCAAGAATACTGAAGCCCAAATAACGTAATCTTCTTATTTGGGCCAGTTTCGGCCCAACTCAATGACGAGAGCCGAGTCGATGATTAGTAAATGAATTTGAATAATGCAACTGACGTGGCTATTACGTTGATTGTGAAACAAAAGTCAATTTTTGTTAGTCAGAAATTATGCTAATTATTTAGAAATTATTATTATATTTAATTCGAGTAAAAGAAAATTGAATGTTCAAAAATTAAATAGAGTATTTTAAAGTATATACAGCCAAATAATATACAATTATTATTTATTTATGATCTGTTACATCAGATCGGGAGCTAAAAGAAAAAAAAAATGAAAAATCATGTGGCAGGCAGCCCCTAATGTTTTGACATATTTGATTTAGTTAATAATTATTATTATTTTCTTTTTTGAGAAGGAACATACAAATTTGTTCTTATTATTTTTTGTCAATAATAATATTAATAATGAAGACAATACATGGGGCGGCTCCCATCCAAACGACAAAGTCTTGCAATCATTTATGGCGGTTCTAATTTATTATAATTATTGTCGTTTTATTTATGTAATTTTTTTTAATAATGAAAAACTACACCCACATTTATTCTATACTAATTTGGTATGTTTCAAAAATAATCAAATATATGTAATATTCTAAATAAGGATAAATTTCAAAAATAATATATCTAATAAAAATTTCAAA